TTGAACTCAATTTTCAAAAATCTAAGGCCATTTTATCATCTCTTCTAAATACTACATTGCCAATAGTGATGATACTGCGATACAAGGCCACTAGTTCCTCTTTGGCAACTAATCCCGCTTCTGGCTTTATGCCCTCCATAATTTAGACAGTCTTTAAGTAAACCGTACTACTCCTGTACAAAACCCTCCTGATCAAACAATGGAGTGTAACCTCACACAGGGTCCATGGTTTCCAAGTATTGGACCCCACTTTTCATGAAGAACCCCAACCGGCTTCCCTCTCCCAGAAGAATTGACACAGTTCCCCAACATGTACAAGAGATTATACCACAATCAACTTTGCCTCAGTTGCAATCAAAATTCAGGCCATGGAAAGACTTCCGCCAAGATCTTCAGGCACATTGGCCCCTATAGATTAACAAAATATGCCAAATACAAAGGGCCATCATAAGCAACTACTTCCAACTGCACATATGGCACGATTTTCCCCCAACTTCCATTTTGCTTTCTAAGTATCAAATCCAACATTCTGTATCTCCCAAATCTAGAGTTGCAGTGCCAAATCAGGCTGTTGAGAATCGACCAACACACCTGAAGACTGCTGAACAGGAGAGGAAGGTAGCTGAAACACTAGATTCAAGTCAGGAGGAAGCGTGTCTCTCTTCTGCTTTTGCTGCGTTTGAGGTGAAAGGCCTCTCCATGGAGATTGAACCTGAAACCTGAACAAATCAGCAGCCTGGCCTTGATGAGCAGAAGCCATGGCCTGGTATTGCAAATTGGGTTCTTCTCTACCAGATCTCCAAAGCAATTGAGAGGCCGATATATTCTTCTCTGTTGAACGAATATTAACTTCAGCATTAGAGGACTCTCTTCCTGGATTGTAGAGAGAAGACGCGACACTCTGAATCTTGGATGGCGTTGCTTTCTCCATTAGAGGAAGCTCCGAACCTCTAATGGACATCCAGGCAAGAGCAGCTGCAGTTACCCCTGAATCATCTCTTCTTAATGGAGGTCCTTTTGCCCCAACTTGTGAATTATTGAGCATAATGTTTGAATGGATTGGTTGATTTGTCATCTTTTCAGATAAAACCTTCATAAGACTCACTTTTTCCTGTAAACCCATCTCATGATTTCCGTGGATGAAGGTATTAGCAGCTCCGGTTTGTGGATTACGTGAATAGTCAGCTAAAGAAGAGCTTGTTGTTCTTATGCTATCAGAACTACACATTGTGTTCTTATAATCAACTCTCTCCATTGTCCTTCCCGACCCACTTGCTAAGGAAACTGATGGTTCAGTCTGTTGTGTGAGATTTAGAAGGCTGCAGCTCCTTGGCACCATTTCAATCAATTGTGAAGAAGCCGCTTCTGCATTTGTCTTACGCAAGGAAGAACCATCAGCAGAAGGGGAAGAGCAGGCACCCTCTCCTTGCTTAAGAACATTAGAAGGCAAAGTAGAGCCCAGATTGTTGCTACCAAGTTGGGAACGACCATATTCATTACCTCCATGCATCATAGAATTCATGGACAAAAAGTTCTGCTGCTGCTGCTGCTGCTGATTCTGACTAGCAGCACCTGCAATAGACTTGGTGACAGCAACTGAATTTTCAGATGACTTTTGGGGTTCAAAAGAATTTGGCACTCTCAATGAGCCCTCCCTCACAGAAGCACCATGCCCACCCCAAGACAGCACTTGCATAGGGTGCAACCTCTGTCGAATCTCACTTACATCCTTTTCTACAGAAGCAACAGATTGCATGGGCATGGCAGATATAGGCTTTGTTTGGATGTTTTGGATATGGCTTTGTGAAGGCGATATTCGCAAGCCAGAAGAAGGTTTTGTTTGGGATATTTGGTGAGTTTGGGAAGGCAATACAACAGAACCAGAAGGCTTTGTTTGGGTAGTTTGTGGCTGGCTGTGTGAAATCATGCCAGAAGAAAGCATTGTTTGGGTCTGGCTTTGGGATGCCAACCCAAAGGAACGGTTAGCTTGGGTGCTTTGGGTCTGGCCTTGTGAGAGCAAACCCAAAGAAGGCTTTGATTGGGTGGTTTGGTTCTGGCTTTGTGAGGTCAATGTATGAGAGACAGAATCAGTCTTCGGTTGGGTGTTTTGGATTTGGTTTTGAGAGGACGATATGCGAAAGACAGAAACAGGCTTCGATTGGGTGGTCTGGGTCTGGTTTTGTGAGGACAATGTATGAAAGCCAGAAGAAGGGTTTGCTTGGGGAGTTTGGGTCTGGCTTTGTGAAGGCAATAAAGGCCTGACAGGCACTTCATCCTCTCCAACCCAGCCCGGCCCGAACTTCAAGCCTGTAGGTAATGCTTCTTCAATTCTTCGTGATGCAATTTTCCAAGCAGTAGGCCCAAGATTTGCAGCAAATCGAGCCAAGCTCCTTGCATATCCATGCTCCGCCTGAAGCCCAACCTGATTCCAAAAGTTGATGCGATTGTCATATCTATCGACCGAAAATTAAAATACAACTCTGGTTTAGAGAAGAAGATAATGAGATTTGAGTAATTTTGAAAAGGAGAAACAACAAAACAGTAGAGTTGTTACTCACTAGCATAAGCTGCTTCATATCTCCCTGAAATAGTGTAAAGGCTAATTCGGATGGCCCCTCGGGTTGTTGATTAGATAACTTGTAAGCTCCACGACGATTTTCATCAAACACTGTAGGCCTCCTTCCAAATCTTGAAGCCAATCCCCTCACTGCCTCAAACCAAACACGACCATGCAAAGCAATTATTTATCCAGAATCATTCTAACTTTGAAATGGTAAACAGATAAAGAAACGCACAGTTTAATTCCATACCTGAGAGTTCCTCTGTCTTGTCTATTCTAAAACTATCAGCCAAGGTGGAATTGCCATCTCCAAAGCAAGATCCATTTCCAGCCTGCTCAGAAGCAGGAGGTTGCAGAATGTTGGACAAATTGGAGATGTCCCCCGCCGTGGCAAGTGTAGCACCGGAAGAAAAATCAGAGCCAGCATGTTCCAATGTTGACCTGCTCAAAGACTTCTTTAATGGTTTCCTAATTGAGGAGTCGTCTTTCACTTCCTGAGCAGCCTTCAATTCGATTTTAGCACCTTCATGGTCAACCTTCAGTTCATGAAACTTTTTCCTTGCAAGCTCCTTTATAGAGTGTGCCTACCAACCATGAAACTACTAATTGGCTAATGTTTCCAACTTGCAAAATGAACACTAACATAAAAGATAGAGCATGGGATTCCTACTTCCCAGGAATAATTTGGAATCCTCAAGCAGGAGACTCGTACTGACCTGTTTGAAGTATATGGTATCAGGTGCATTGTATTGCATTGCATTTGTGCAGATTAAGATTACATCTCCCTGCATGCCAGAAGAGAAACTTCAGTCAAGCAACAAAGCATGCATCTTTATCTGAATAGAAAACATCAATGTGAGACAAAATGAAAAACACATTAACCTTTTGGGACAGTACAACAACAGTGCCACATAACAAAAAAAGGTAAAATGCCAACTGAAACAGTCCCCAATTCAACCAACACTAATGGCAACATAGCCAAAAGGAACCTAAAGATGCACATTTGGCCCCGAAGTGACTACAAGCCTGAAGTGCAGGCTATGTACCACATCCTCAAAGCAATATGCCCCAAAGATGAGGTTTTGGCGTGGCCTGGCCTTTTAAGCTAGCAGGACTTTCCTGCTGCTAGCGATCTTTGAGGCTTGGCATCGAAATTAGTACAGGACCCCTTTTTCACATTACGTGTATAACACATTGTTCACTCGATTTAGCAGGGACTCAAAAACTGCAGTGCTCTCAATCAGGTGAACTTTTTTTCTGGTCTCTCTATGGTGGGGCGCCTCGCACGCTAATGAATGAAACCAGAGTTTACACAGTGAGCAGAGCCTGGGGTAGCAAGTTCTAACCATTTGTTGGGCTTTGCTCATTGCCAACACGACCTCTCCTATGCCACACATCAAAGCACTCGCTGCTAACCATAGTAGCACTTATTTATGTTTCCACATGGTCCACACATAAATCACTTGGGGCTTTATTCTCCAAAACAGAAAAAAGAAAAAAAAAGGAAGGGAGAAAAAAGAGAGGCAGAAGAATCACAACAGCTGGGGCTTTGACAAGGTTTGGCTACCACTAGCTCTCTACTAGGTTGATATAGCCTGAGAGGGTATTCTAGTCATTCTTGTAATTGTTTCATCTCTTTCTCATTACCAGGAATGTTAGTTAGGTACATTTGTTCAATCACTTAGCAATCTTGTCCATGATTCTCCCAAAAAGATCTTTATGGATTTTTCCCTCAGAATTTGTGTGTTGATAGAACTAAGAAAGGAAGTTTTGTATGATCTTTCTTTTAAGCCTGTATGCAAAGCAGCCTTCCACTTAACAATCATAATGGCCTTCCACTTAACAATCATAATGGCCCTCTATCTCCTAAATTCGGCTCTGTTGACAAAACAGAATTTGAATATTTAATTATTCAAAAATTTGAATAAAGGCACTGACTTTTCATATATCTGAATTATATATTAGAAATTTTTGAATAAAGGCACTGCCCACTTTTCATATATCTGAATTATATACATCTGGATTTGTTTCTTTTTATGAATGTTTGGCCGTAATTTTTTTACATATAAAATATTTGACGACAGGAGAGGGGAGAGGGAAAACCATGATCTGACAATTTCTCCAGGCAAAAAACAAGGGTTTTTGAAAAGGGTAATGTCAAAGGCTCTATCTTCATCCATTTATCTTATCACAGCTAGTCACACCGAGAGGCTTCCGGTCATCTCTCTCTCAGGCCTCTCTCTCTCTCCCACCGAACTCTTGGCTGTGTGGGTTCCTTAGGTAATAGCTACGGTCATTTATTTACGATTTCTATTCTTGATGGACAATGGCGATGCCAAGTAATAGCTACGGCAAGGAACATAGTGAAATTACTTGGGTGCACAGCGACCATGATAAAGATGTTGCAGATCCTTCCACATTCAATCGCAGGTTCTTTAGAGAAAAAATGGCCGGTAAAAAATTAGAAGAGGACGAACCAGAGGCTTTTGAGGTTGACAGATTCATACAGGTGTTAGGGCAGTTAATCCTCTCTTGGGTTGCCGGATAAAACCCAATTTGGCCAGAATCTGGTCATTTTCGGGTGGCCCTCTTTGAAGAATTGATGAGTTGCAGCCAGAATTGGGCTCCAATGGCTTCAGAGATCCAAGCTTTTGCTTCTCTTTTACACAGGGCTTAAACCCTAATGCAACAGGCCATATTCAGGAGGCGTTTTGGATGGGATATGATGGTGGTGGTAACAAGAGTGTTGACAGGGCTTTGAAGGAGGACAGGATATCAGAGTGTTACTAAACATACCCTTCAGCTCTCCCACCTTTCTGCTCCGTTCCTTATTTTTGTAATACCGATCTTCTTATATCACATGATTCCCATATGTCACACAACATTTTCAATAAATGGTGCCCAATATGGCCTATGAAGAAGAGATCATAAATAATGCAGGGGCCAATGTACATAAGAAATCGTATAACTAAAAGTTTGATTGAAAATAAAGGTGGAAACTTACAAGACAAACTTCCTTACTCCCCCGTTTAACCAGGACTCTCAAAACAAATAAAATATTCAACTTCGCTTCTAAACTCCCCGTTTAACCAGGACTCTCAAAACAAATAAAATATTCAACTTTGCTTCTAAACTCCTATACAAACCCCTATTTATAGCTTAAAGCTTAACCCTCGGGAAATCATAATCCTAATATAATTATAACTTGTAATTAAAACGAAAATCTAATAATACTGTTACCCCTGAAAATAAAATAATATCCATAAGAACATTGAATGCTTTTCCAAACAGTCCCTAAATCCTGAAAAATTAACCAAATTTAAAAAAAAAAAAAAACCCTAAAAATAAACCCCGAAGTACATCCCTAAAATTAATTAGAAATTTAAAAAACACGAGGCATCCTGTCCTACACCAGATACTCCTAGTTGGAGAAAAGTCATCCTCGAGTTTTGAGGTAGGCAAAGATGAATCATGCATCAAAACCACCTTCATCTTCAACTTTTTTTTTTGTTGGCACAAATACTATTTCTGGTAGGAAAAAGTCCTCAAGAAATGGATCTTAATATGTGTGTTGAGAAATTGATTCAAGTATATGAAATCCGGCTATCCCTAAACTCGCACTGAGAAGTCTTATTCAAAAAAAAAAAGCATTGAGAAGTTCAAACTGAAATTCTCAGACTTTTAGGGGCTTTCTCTAACGAAATCGGTTGGGAAAAGCAATAGAGTAGGTTTCAGTCATTGTAGACTTTTGAGTCCCGATTTCAAAGAGTACCAATTATAGCGATTCCAAGCTACAAGTTACAAGCACAGCTATGTTGAAAGTAAAGTGCTCAAAATCTGCTCATAAACTGCTTGACTCTTTCCAAATTCAAGATTAAGGATCTCTTGTGGTTTCTCCACATCTACTTCATTACCCCCTGAATCCATGCTCATGATTTTGGTTTATGAATGCATCATTCGTCTGCTGTGTTACTTTGATGCCAAATAATGAAAATCGAAGAGTTCTTCACCCCATCAACCTTTGCAACTTTTAGAATTCTTACCAAGCTCGAAAACCTATCAGCCACGTTTTCACCATACACCTCACTGAAAACTCATATACGAAGTCCATGCCACCTGATTTCACACAAAAATTCTAGTCCAAGACTTCCTCAACATACCCTACCAGAGCCATTCTTCCTCACCTAAGGATTTTGTTGTTCATCTTGGCATCTAGGGATTCTTCATCCTTTTCAAGATCTAATCTCTCCTCACTATCTTCAAGAGAGAGGGTCCCAATTTCCTCAACTTCTTCCAAGAGTTCTTCATTAAAAATTGAATCACCCACAACATCTTGTTTTTACTCATGTGGCTCTAGTTCGAAGATAGGTTCTTCTTCTTCCTAATCAAAGATAGGTTTAAATAGGCACTCGTCATGAGAAGATCTTTGTTCCTCCCCTGATTGTGCAGCAAAGTTTCATCCTTTCTATGGTTACGAAAGAATTCTCATATTCGGACTCAAAACTGTAGTTCACAACTGACTTTGTCTTGAAACGACTCAACATCAATCAGATGGGAGTTGGATGCACCTTGTACATCGGATCCTTGAACCTCCTTCAATTCGAACAATTTTTACTTATTTCACATGACAATTCCTCAATTCTCCTTTTCAAATCATTGAACTCCCATGTAACTCGTCATCACCACAACTAGACCTCCTCTAGCAGTCATAATGCAACTTTGCAACGGATCTTTGGTGCTCTAATCTTATGCAGAATTTACATAAAGAAATCAAAGAATTGAAATTTTATTTGAAAATAAAAAGTCTCCAAGCCTTCTTAGCTTCTGGTTTAACTAGGAATCTTAAAACAAATAATATTCAACTCTGCTTCTAAGTAACTCTTGAACCTCAAGAAATCTTAGTTCTAATATACTTAGAACTTCTAACTTAAATAAAATTCATTGACACCTTTACCCTTGATGAATTAAATAATTCCAAAAGGAAATTAACTACTTTTCTAAACAGCCTCCCTAAAAGCCAAAAATAAACCTTACAAAAAAAAGAAACAAAATACATCACTAAAAATAATTAGAAAAAAATTTAAAAAATACGAGGCATCTTGTCATGTATTATAAAGTAGGACGCCACATCATTCTAGATTGATTCCCTTGGAAGAGGCATACCCACAATCATGAAAGTGGACATACTTCATCTTTCCCAATACCAGAAAGTTAGAAACTCAGAGATGAAGGTGAACCATCAAGAAGGTCCTCCCTATCATGCTTCTTCCTCCTGCACTACTTGCCTATGGTTCCGAAATTGGGTAACTCGTTTCTTGTTTGTTAACAACTACAGCAAAAAATCCCAAATTTATATCCTATTTCCTATTCATAGAAAAAAATGTAATTACATAAAAAGTGTCTCCTACTAGACTTAACTAAGACAATAGGACTCCAAAAGGCATTAATTCATTTTATTGGCCTCAAATTCAAAGGCAGTCAAAAGTGAAATATCCAATTGAGACTTTGTGGACTTCAGTTTATGACACTAGCAGAATCTGACACTTTTCTAAACAGTATTTTTCAGCTGGGCAAAGGAAGATCTAAGTGCTATTTCGTATATCTCATGAAATTCTAGGGATCTTTAGGGTATTCAAAGGATCTAGTCATATTTGTGTCCCTCTATCGGATCGAAAATCTTTAAAGCCCCAAAAACACATAAAAACCTCAGATGTACAAGATTTTGGAATTTGGTTCCAAGGTTTGGATTTGCATTTGCGAGCTTCAGATCTTCGAAATCCACAAC